AGTGGTGCAGAAATAATTGGTGAGAGTCAAATTCATACACACACTTGCTCAAATCATGTCAACAAGAGACTGAGAGATTGAACAGAGTGTGCGGCTTCTGGTTTGGTAGAAAAACAGAAGGTCAGCACCCAATTCAGTTGCCTCTTTTTTCCCTTTAAGTATAGATCAGGGTAAAGCAAGGAGACTGAGAACCAATAACTCAATTGGAAATTTTCTTTTGAGGACTTTGGGGCAGGATGTGTAGGACCAGAATGTGGGCCAACCAGGTAGTAGACCATCTCAATAACAAAATGTGACACTGATGGCAGGAAAATTCCTGAAGAGACGTTGTTTTAGTAAAGCACTTCTTAATCTTGTTTTCCATAGTCTTCCTTTCAGAGAACACTAGAAGTGTTCAATAGGTCAGATCTCTTAAAAATAAATTGTAAAAAGACCACTAGAATTCTCCTTCCTTCCTTCCTTCCTTCCTTCCTTCCTTCCTTCCTTCCTTCCTTCCTTCCTTCTTTCCTTCCTTCCTTTCTCCTCACCTTGTTCTAAAACGTCTTTGAGGTAACAAATGCCCAATGTTTTTGTGCTTTAAATAGTATTGAATTGCTCATTGCTTCACATGAGTGGCCAGTGTTTGGAATCCAAAGTCTTTTTTTGTGATAAAGAGTTTGAGTCAAAGATAAACCTGCAGTAATGAGTTCTAACATGCAATCAAATTAACCATTACAGCATTAGATTAATTTCAACCCAACACACCTACTGTTATTTCAATCTATTAATTTTTTAAATTGATACAAAATCCTTCCTAAAAATGAATGTTATGTGGACAAGTCACGTCAGTATGTCTATGTAAAGACCTTTAATCATCTTTTTAATGAAAAGATTAAGCAATTTTTTTTAAAGTTGAAGAATATTCATTACATAATCTTAAATCCAATCAGTAATAACTATTGAAAGGGCAGTAATGAACTGATGGTCACATCTCCATTTTTGCTTGCTTCTAAGCCTAGGGACCAGTAGGTGATGAGAACACATGCTCAGAACATACCAACTTAGAAGACTTTCTAGTTTTGAAAAGAGAATGTCTTCTCTCCTTCCTAAACATCATAGCACTGGAACTTTCCCAGCTTCATCCTACACTCACCTGAAAGAGAAAGTCAATTTTGTTATTTGCTTAAGGCTTAATAAGCAAAATTCATGGGAAAGGTTTACTATCTGTCAAAAGTATAAACTCTGGCCTCCAAGAGAGTGAGGGAAAAAATGGGGAAGGGGAATCAAGGAAGACTTCTTAGGGCAAGGGGGTAACGCCCTCCCAAGTTTGTTCCTGAGAGCTTGGTGGCCAACTGGAAGAGCCTTCCCTCCTCCTTAAAGTGGAGTTTAGAAATCGGTTCGTCTCTTATGTGGGGCAGCAGAGCTGGGCCCTGTGCTTGAAGGGGTATTGCTTGGGGCATGGGACAGTGTACCCTATGCCTCTTTTCTGACCCCTATGAAGCTCAATTTGAAATATCGGTCACAACTGATATCCCAAGGAGCCTGTGAAGAAACTGATGGTGCAGCTTTCTTTAAGTGCAACACTTGGGTGGCCCTACACTGGCCCCACCCTTGGAAGGAGAACCCTGCTTGGAAGGCAGCCCCTGGAAAGCCTTACTCCATCATTCGCTGAGTGATTCCCCTTGGCTCAACCAACATGATTGTTTGGACCAGTCTCCATGTTAGGCCCTGAGGGATTCAGAAATCAATACTAATGATATTAATACAGTAGCTAATATACTCCATGCTCCAAAGCCAAAGTAAAGTAGCAGGGAAGTCTTACTCAAAATTTTGAATAGCAAATAAAAAGGTCACTTACAGTCGAGGATATGTGGAGTATGTGGCAGAAATGGTTAAAAGCCAAGAAGACTGAGTGGTTTCCTGGGGTGGGCCGGGGAGTCATGAGAAGGAACTGTGCAAGGATTCAAACTGGAGAGTGAGAGCCTGCCCTGCCAGGGACATGGCTGGAATAGGCAGAGTGGGAGCCTCTCCAGGCTGCAAGCAGAGAGCTGGAAAGCAGAGAGGGGATGTAGGAACGGTGTGTCCAAGAGGTTGGCTGAAGGCCTGGGCTCCTGTCACTGGAGCGTCCTTGTCGGACTTCTTGGTGCTTCTAGCACATTTCTGAGACTAGGCTGCACAGATTTAAAGGAGATAGGAAGCTCACAGCCAGTTGGCCTGGAGGTCAAATCCCCCCCAGTGTTAACTACAACAATCAAGGCTTAACTACAACAAGACTGCGCACAAAGACCACAAGGGGGTGCACCAAGAAAGCATAAAAAATGCGGAGACAAAGAAACAGGACACAACTGACAGAAATGGAGGATATAGAGTTCAAAACCACACTTTTAAGGTCTCTCAAGAACTGTCTAGAAGCCGCCGATAAACTTAGTAAGGCCCTCGAAAAGACTGGTGAGACTGCCGATAAATATAGTGAGATCCTCAAGAAATCTAATGAGACCCTCGATGTTGTGATAAAGAACCAACTAGAAATTAAGCATACACTGACTGAAATAAAGAATATTATACAGACTCCCAACAGCAGACCAGAGGAGCGCAAGAATCAAGTCAAAGATTTGAAATGCGAAGAAGAAAAAAACACCCAACTGGAAAAGCAAAATGAAAAAAGAATCCAAAAATACAAAGATTGTGTAAGGAGCCTCTGGGACAGCTTCAAGCGTACCAACATCCGAATTATAGGGGTGCCAGAAGATGAGAGAGAGCAGGATATTGAAAACCTATTTGAAGAAATAATGACAGAAAACTTCCCCTACCTGGTGAAAGAAATAGACTTACAAGTCCAGGAAGCGCAGAGAACCCCAAACAAAAGGAATCCAAAGAGGACCACACCAAGACACATCATAATTAAAATGCCAAGAGCAAAAGACAAAGAGAGAATCTTAAAAGCAGCAAGAGAAAGAAACTCAGTTACCTACAAGGGAATACCCATACGACTGTCAGCTGATTTCTCAACAGAAACTTTGCAAGCCAGAAGGGAGTGGCAAGAAATATTCAAAGTGATGAATAGCAAGAACCTACAACCAAGATTACTTTATCCAGCAAAGCTATCATTCAGAATTGAAGGTCAGATAAAGAGCTTCACAGATAAGGAAAAGCTAAAGGAGTTCATCACCACCAAACCAGTATTATATGAAATGCTGAAAGGTATCCTTTAAGAAGAGGAAGAAGAAGAAAAAGGTAAAGATACAAATTATGAACAACAAATACACATCTATCAACAAGTGAATCTAAAAATCAAGTGAATAAATAATCTGATGAACAGAATGAACTGGTGATTATAATAGAATCAGGGACATAGAAAGGGAATGGACTGACTATTCTTGCAGGGGCAAGGGGTGTGGGAGATTCGGGAAGAGACTGGACAAAAATTGTGCACCTATGGGTGGGGAGTGAGGGCGGAGGGTGGGGTGGGAACTGGGAGGAGGGGAGTTATGGGGGGAAAAAAGAGGAACAAATGTAATAATCTGAACAATAAAGATTTAATTTTAAAAAAAAGGAGATAGGAAGGCACAAAGGAGAGGTTGCAGGAGGAGAACACACACAGGTAGGTGTTGCTGAGGAAAGCAAGGGACACTCATGGGGAGGGGTTGCTCCTTAGAGTATAAACAAATCTTGGGAGCCAAGGGATGAGGGCTGGACCTCACAGGGAGACACCCCCAACTGTGGACCTCCCTGAGGCTCCTAAGCTCCAACCAGCCATGGAGAACAGAAGGCTCATCTTTAATTTGTGCCAATTTTTTCTGACAAACTCAATTTGAAGATTCAGCTCAATTGCAATCAACAAAGTAAGTGAAGCAGAAAATCACTTGCTTCCCTCGGAGCAAGGAGCACCATCGGTGACTCCAAAGGAGCCAGAGAGTGTGCAGGCCTCCGTCAGGGCACAGGGGCCCTGCTCTTCTGTCCTCAGCATGAGTGAGGGCCTAGCCCACCCAGGAGGGCTCCTTCCCAGCTCCCACCATTCCCCAAGGCGCTTTTAGTAAGGCAACAGCCTGCAGAGGAAAGAACACTGGACTGGAGTCAGGTGGCCTTGGTTCTAGTCCTGTCTCTGGTACTGACTGCTGGGTGCCCTGGAGCAAGTTACTTCTTCTGGAGTTGTTGTTGCTCAGCCTTAAAAAGGGGTGGGAGCAAGAAATAGTCCTTGCCGTGCCCACTTTACAGGGTGATCATGAAGCTCAAATAAGAGAATAGATGCGAAAGCCGCTCTTTACATTCAGGGCACTGAGCAGATGCTCCCCCTTGGTGTAATGGTAATGATGGCAATGATGGGAATGGTGGCTGAGCTACTTTTTATGCACAGTTTCTATAAATATCGCACCAAGAGATGAAGTCCTGATTTTAATGGACTTACTTTATCCATCTCATTTATCTCTGGGTTCTCACCACGGCACCAAAGAATCATTTTTAGCTCTGTGAGGAGTTTGGGTGGAATGTCTGAGAGCATCTTTCTCTTCCACTCCCCACCCCTATGGTCAAGTCCAGTGACCCTTCCTAGGTATCCTCTCGGGGGCATCAGGGACTTGGAGCTCAGTACCCACATGGAGGTCAAGCTCTCTCTAGTTTTACCTGGAAGAAGGGACAGGTTGATGATCTTCAAAGCCTTTCAGGGTCCCAGTTTCTACACCTAGCAAATTCTTCTGACACCATGACTGCTAACTCTTACTCATGCCAGAAATTAAGGACACAAAGAGAGGGCTAGGTGGGTCAGGGCTATACCTTGTAGGAGATTATGTCTTAGTGTGTGTCTGTGCAGGTGCACACGTGTGTGCATGTGCACACATATGGTGGGCTCACTTCAAGAATTGAACTTCTTGTTTCACCAGCTGCCTCTTCCCATACCATATCCAACAGTTAAATGTTTTATCTGGAATAAACAAAAATAGACATTATTTTGCAGAAAAGGAAACTGGGGCAATGATAAAAGCAAATTGCTAGTGGTTATTGAGAGATACTCTGGCTAGCAGGAATCAGAATCTCAAATTGCCAAGTTCTCGAACTTTTTCTGAGAACGCAGCTGGGCCTGTGTTCTTGTCTGAAATGAGCTTGCAGCCTGATTCGAGGGACAGGTGGCTGATGTCGGCTGCGGAGAGAGGGAGCGGGAAGAAGAGCTCGTTAGGCACCAAAAATACTTTCCAAAGATGTCCTTCATCCTAGCCTCACATTTACAAAGATTTTATGTACGAAACAAACTAAACATATTAAGTTAAAATTAATTGATTTCCCTGTTATTTATTAAATAAATTTATGACTACTGATAGGGATTTCTATTTAGCATCCCAAAACATTGATATAATGCTGGTCAAAGGCAAACAATCCAATACTTCCAGTTAGCTCCTTTCCTGCGAAATTTCTATCAGGCCTTTTGAAATCACAGACATGGACTGCCTTTAAGAACTTCTATTGGGCTGGGAACCGAAAAGTTAGACTTCTGGACGAGACCAACTCCCATTTTACAGATGAGGAAAGTGACGTGCAGGAGGACAAAGTCACTTGTCCAACATCTCAAAGAGAGTCTGTGGTATATCTGGGACTAGAAGCACATTCCCAACCCATGGCCTGGATCCTTTCTTCAGCACCTGGGTCAGGGAAGGCAGAAATGCATAGAACCAGCCTCCGCTTTTTGGACCCACTGATGCTTTGACAGATCCAGAGTGAAGTAGGAATGGGAAGAGACAGCTCACCACACCTGCGACAGAATTCAAGTTAGGTCAAGTATTGTAAAACCCAACTCACAACTGGCTGAGTCTGTCTGCCAGGTGACTCACTGTGGCAGCGGAATGAGCCCTGGCCAAGGTCATACTGACATCCCAAAGCCTGCCCGTGCTGTCTTTCTCCTCTCAAGTTTCCCTAGAAAACACAAAGCCCAGTCCTTTTGTAAAATCACTCAGGGCCCTCTGGGCTCTGGCTGGACTCCCTGGGGCTCCCAGGGCTAGGAGAGGCTTCACTGCGCAGGGCTTGCCAACTGAAAAGTCACAGGCTGGGAAGAGGCAGCATTTTCAGTTCAAGCTGGATCCTATTTACTTTTAAAATTTTCATACCCTGATTTGTTTTTTGTTTTTTCTCTCGGTGCGGGGGGTGGGGGGGGGGAATTGGGGGGCAGGTGGTGGAAATGTCATTTCTTTGTCATTGAAAGTTAAACTTCCTTTAGCTAAGCACTGGGGACTGTGTTATTGAACACTTGCATCTCTGGCCAAATGTGCTCTTTTACAGCAGTGACATGACTGCCCGATCCCTAGGTCGTAATGATAGGACATTATAACAACTCCGACATTATACATGCTTGTGTTCCTTCTTACTGCAGAGATCTGAGGAAAGCAGAAGCTTTTAAAAAATATGTAAATTTAAATTTGGGGACTTCTAAGTAAAACTTTCAGATAAACCCTCCTTTGTTAAGTGCACAATAGACAGGCAGCAGCCTTCATTCATTCATTCATTCATTCATTCATTCATTCATTTTTGCTCCTAAAGGTCCAGGCTCTGTGCTAGGAACTGGGCATGAACCAGTGAGTGAGTGAGCGAACCAGTGAGTGAGTTAGTGTGTTAGTGTGTTAGTGAGTGAGGGAGTGAGCGAATGAGTGCCAACCTCTGTCTAGGGTGCACTTCCATACCACCTTTCTTATTCTCCCAGTGACGCTTGGGATTATTAAATATGTTTCCCTGTCAGAATGTAAGCTCATGCACGAGTGCAAAGACTGTTCCTGTCTTACTTGTCACTCTGAGCCCAGTCCTGGGCACAGCCCCAGGCACATCCATATTTGTTCAACGGGGGATGGTTGGTTGAATGATGGGTGGGTTGGCGAATAAATGAGTGAGCAAATGAACAAGTGAGAGATAGTGGGTTTCATAAAATATTTTTCATTTCCTTACTTACTCATATGTATATTATTCATTTTATGAATAGTCATTTATTTATTTTATGCATATTTTTATTCTTCTGCATTTATTAATTTATTATTTTAAAATATTTTTTATTTTTAAATTACAGTTGACATATAATAATTATATTAGTTTCAGGTGTACAACATTCGTTTCAGTGATTAGACATTTATTATAACTTATGAAGTGACCTCACCCCAATAAGTCAAGTACCCATCTGACACCATACATAGTTAATCCGATATTATTGACTATATTCCCTATGCTGTGCTTTACAATCTATTACTGTTTTTATAACTGGAAATTTGCACATCTTAATCCCTTCACCCACCAACCCCAACCCTCTTCCCATCTGGCAACCGTCAAAATGTTTTCTGTATCTATGTTGTTTGTTTGTTTGTTTTGTTTTTTAGATTCCACATATAAGTGAAATAATATGGTATTTGTCTTTGTTTGAGTTATTTCACTGAGCATACTACCCTCTAGGCTCATTCATGTTGTTGTAAATGGCAAGATTGCATTCTCTTTTTAATGGTTGAGTAGTATTCTATTGTTTACATGTACTTCATTATCCATTAGTCTATCAATAGACACTTAGGTAGCTTCCATATCTTGGCTGCATTTCTTTATTTATTGCTTGCCTTATTCCAGAAAGGATTTAAAGCATCATCATCAGAGGTGAAAGTTTTAATTTTTTGACCCCATGGCAAACATTTCAGAATGTGTCCCATATCCTTAGTTTGTCATAATTCAGGATTGGGGCATTTCCCGAACACTGCCCCAGGCAAGTTGGGCCATGGAGGGATCATGAAGTGTGATTCTGGCCCTCCAGCTGCTCAGTGTGGCGGTGTAAAGGCACATGCATGCTCAGGTGACAACTTTTCTGGGAGAATGAAGGGATGTATCCACGGAGCACCTTTGGCAGTGGAATGGTATTTGCCTGAGCAGAATTAACTATGTCTTATTTTTTGTTTATTCCCCATAGTGCTGATCATTCAGCACTTACTTGATACTTTCCCATTTTCTCATGAAATTATTAGCATAGAGGGAAATCAGTTGCCACTTAGCACTAAGATTTTTTGTCTTAGTGTCCAGGCACACCAACTACCCCAGTTGCCTATTTTTCCAGAAGGCAGTGAACAAAAATAAATGCATTTGGGGATTTCTTTGGACTCCTTTTATTGTAAACCATAACAAGCACCACTCGTCTGTCAGCATGTGGCTGGGTGCTAGGATGATGTTGAAGAGATCACAGTCTAGTGTAGACAAGCAAGGAGGTGATTATAATACAGTGTAATAAGAGTAGTGACTGAGGTCTACACCTGGGGTGCTATGAGAGCAAAGAGGAGGGGCACTTGACCTAGACCAGGGGCTTCAAAGAAGCTTCTTAAAAACCAGTGGGATTTAGCCAAGAAAAGAAGGTGAAGAGAATATTCCAGAGAGACAGAACCTTCTGAACAGTGACCCCAGGGCATGAGAGGAACAGCAAGTTTAGGAAACTATGAGTCATTCTGGTAGGCTGTGCCCTGGGGTACATGGAGGGTGGGGAATGATGGAGAAATTGCAAGGTGAAACTAGAGAGGTCAACATAAACTAGATCATGAATGACTTTGAGTTGTTCTGAGAATTTTACTTCAGATGCAACAGTGAGGCAGACACTGCAGGATTTTTAAGCAGGAGAGTGACATGATCTCTTGGGCATGATGCCGAGTGGTTGGAGATGGGAAAGGCTGGTGGCAGGACGATCAGTTAAGAGACTGCTATACTGCAGCAGGAAGATACGAGGCCTGGATGAAGGCAGTGACAGTGAGAATTGCGAGCATGGATGGATTCAAGACTATTGCAGAAATCTATTCTAATAAAAGGGTAATATGCTAATTAGACCAGACATCTTCCGGACATCCTTCTGGACAAAGCCATGGTGGTGGGGGCCAAGGCAGAGGCTGTTAGGGATGATCAGGCCGGCAGGGGAGGACAGTTAGGAGCAATCAGGCTGGCAGGAGAGCAGTTAGGTGGCAATCAGACTGGCAGGGGAGTGCTTAGGGGGCAATCAGGCCAATAGGCAGAGGCAGTTAGGGGCGATCAGGCCAGTAGGCAGAGGCAGTTAGGGGCAATCAGGCAGGCAGGCAGAGGCGGTTAGGGGCAATCAGGCAGGCAGGCAGAGGTGGTTAGGGGTGATCGGGCAGGCAGGCAGGAGAGCGGTTAGGAGCCAGCGGTCCCGGATTGTGAGAGGGCAGTCAGACAGTCCCCGAGGGGTCCCAGATTGGCCCCCACACAAATTTTGTGCACCGGCCTCTAGTATCTGTATAAAAGAGAAACTGCTCAAGAGGGGAGCTAGCAGTGGACCTCTGGTTTTCATTTATACTGCTCTACCCTAGTACCTGCATTTCATCAACCTCTGCTGCTGGAGCCCAATTCATCTCAGATGGCTTTAGAACTCTCTCAAGGGACAAGAAAAACCCCCACCCACCCCTAAGTATGACTTTATAAGCAAATCAAACCCTTCTCCCCTGAAATTCATCTATCAAAACAGAACACTTTCACCCTGGGGCTTTTTCAGCAGGGAGATTTTTCTCTGAGTTTCTTAATAAGCAGTGGTAAGGGGAAGGCAAATCTGCAGCTCAAGTCTACTCAAAATTGCTCCCGCACAATGCCAGGAATCCTGCCACTGGCCTGAATCTTGGTCACTGGCCTGAAACAGTGGTTTTCACCTTTTGCCATAAAAACATCCAGCCCTGTAGAGAATTTTAATAAGAGTTTATTAGAGCTGAATTAATGATAATTGCCAGGAAGCAAGATTTCAAATGCTCCAGAGAATGACAGTTTTGCAGCTTCTTTTGTGCAGGTGGAAATCAGAACGGAACGTAAGAAAGATTACATGAAAGCGGGAGAAAACAAGGTGAGGATTGGGTTACAGGATGGTTAATAAGATTATGTGCTCTCTTGAGGGTGGCTAGCCTCTGAAGGTTCTGAAAAAGAGGCATTTCAAAGGTGTGTTAACCTAGATGCACAAAATGCTTAAAGGGAAGATAAACCTTTTACTAAGGAAGCAATATGCACCATGGCCTGCCCAGCTAGGAATTTATGATCGTGTTTACTTTTGGTTAGATTTAGTACAGTACCCTTTTTTCGTCCACACTCCTGCTGCATACGGATCACTTGGGGGGGGGGGTGGTGGGACTTTTAACACCCTCACAAGTCCATACCCCTGACCACGAACATTAAAGCCTCTGGGAAATGAAGCCCAGGCATCAGCATTTGTTAAAACTTTCCAGGTGATACCAGGGTGCAGCTGGTTGAGAGCCACTCAAGGAAAGGAAATGTGCTAACTGACCCACTATCATATTCCACCTCCTGGGCGAGATGCACTGAGGCCAGGAAAGGTGCAGCTTAGGACCCTGGCTACTTTATAAAAACTTTCCTAAGGGACACGAGGATAGAAGCTTTAACAGAGTGACCTAAAGGCAGGGTTAGGAGAGATATGAAGGGTTCCTCTCCCTAACTTGTCTATATGCATTGAAACAGTCTATCTCAGTTTCCAGTCTATCCTAATCTGGAAGAAGTCCCAGGACACCTAGCAGCCCTCACCACCCTGTGTGTTCACCCCTTCTCCTGTGAGCCTGAACTTCTTGTTTTCCACCAAGTGTCTCTAATAGAAAAAGGAAAGGAAGATCCTGTGAGGGAGGGAAAAATCTCCTCCTCTACTCATTGGGAGGGAAAAATGATTTCCCCTTGAAGGGAATGAAAAATAATTTATTAATACCTTTATAGGTTCTTGGTTGAAACTCCCTGTAATAAAAGACAAATTGCCTGGCCATGGTGGCTCAGTGGTTGAGCCTCAACCTATGAACCAGGAGGTCACAGTTCAATTCCCGGTCAGGGCACATGCCCGGGTTGCAGGCTCGATCCCTTGTAGGGGGGCATGCAGGAGGCAGCTGATCAATGATTGTCTTTCATCATTGATGTTTCTATCTCTCTCCATCTCCCTTCCTCTCTGAAATCAATAAAAAAATATATTCTTAAAAAGGACGAATTAGCCCTATTTGGTTTGGCTCAGTGAATAGAGCGTCGGCCTTCGGACTGAAGGGTCCCGGGTTCAATTCTGGTCAAGGGCACATGCCCTGGTTGTGGGCTCAATTCCAAGTAGGGGGGCATGCAGGAGGCAGCTGATCAATGATTCGATTCTCTCTCACCATTGATGTTCTCTCTCTCTCTCTCTCTCCCTCTCCCTTCCTCTCTGAAATCAATAAAAAAAATACAGATAAAAAAGACAAATTAACAGAAGAAAAAAACAGTTTATTAACATGGATACCTCCTGTACTCATGGGAGATACCCAGGAAAACTGAGTAACTCACAGAGCTGGCCTGAGCCAGAGTGAGTCAACCCAAGATGTGCCTCCATGGTATGCAGATTGTTTTGAGCTAAAGGCCAGTTTAGCTTCAGGCTCAAGAGAAACTTCTGCCCTCGACCTTAATTACCTGGAAGAATTTGAGTTTGAGGCCTTGCCCATAAGAGAGTATCAGAGATAACTTCTTCTGACCTATCTATAGGGCTGGGAAAACTTCTATTTACTAAATGTCTGTTCCTCATATCTGCAATAACCTTTTGAAACCCCCAATGCACCTTAACTCATCCCTAGCTCTGGATGTCTTATACCCATGTTTCCTTTCTATCTCTGAATCTCTCCTGCATTGGGGTCTCTGACTCTCTCGTGCATGTGGGCTTCCATACTAATGTATGTATTAAATTTGGTTATGTTCTCTCGCTAATCTGTTTCATGTCTATTTCATTATTAGACCAGCCAGAAGAACCTTGAGGGCACAGGAAAGTTTGTTCCTCCTCCACAGCCACAGGCTTAAATACCGTCAATTAAAGAACAAAACAAAACAAAACAAAACAAAAAGAAGTTGATGGGGAGAAGGCCAGTTATGAGGGGTTACCAGGAAAAGCAGAGGAAACAAAGGTAAGGTATAATTTGCTGATTTAAGTGAGTGCTTTCTCCATTGATTGGTTTCTTGTGATATAGTTCCTTCTCCTCCAGGTACAGAGCACAGAGGCTTCAGATGGAGATTTCCTTTATAAATATAAATGTCTCTGACAAAAGAGTAAAGTTTACCTTTTTGCATTTCTGTCTTCAGAGCTTCTCCTATGTCTGCTCTTTTTTCAAAATAATCTCAAAATAATTCTTTTTTTTTTCTTAATATATTTTATTGATTTTTTACAGAGAGGAAGGGAGAGAGATAGAGAGCTAGAAACATCGATCAGCTGCCTCCTGCACATCTCCCACTGGGGATGTGCCCGCAACCATGGTACATGCCCTTGACCGGAATCGAACCTGGGACCCTTCAGTCCGCAGGCCGACGCTCTATCCACTGAGCCAAACCGGCTTCGGCATCAAAATAATTCTTATGTCAAAGAGGCATATATTGGGGTGACATATTCTGCTACCCTGCATACACATCTTAGGTTCTTCAACTGGGGCCCTGTGAATAAGACAGACTAGTGTGAAAAACAAACAGAAGTTTATTAACATTATATATGTACACATGGGAACACGCAGCAATGAGTAACCCAAAGAAGAGTTTAGAATTTGGGTTTAAGTTCAACAAAGGAAAAGGGATCTGGGTCTTCTGGGTGAGAGAGGCAAGTTTTGGGAAGGTAACCAGGAAAAGTATGGCAAACACGGGTTGTTCACAAAGGTCTGCTATGCAGATTTCAGCTGGTGTTTTCTCCACTGATAGGAATTGGAAGAGTCCTCTTCCTGCAGATGGAGAGGGAGCAATCTTTACAGATGGAAATTTCCTTTATCAATACAAAAGGGAAACTTGTACACTGTTTTTAGAGATTTTTATGCATCTGCTGGTTCTCAATGGCTTTCAAAATAATTCATATACTAATGTTAAAAAACAAAGTTTTACTGAGTAAATTTGAAGATCTAATTGGCTTTATTAAGCGATTCCCAAAGCAGGCAGCATCCCATCTAGCAACTAGACGGGTCCTCTGAGGGATTCTACAAAATGGAAGTTTTTTTTTTTTAAACAACAACAAAAACACACACCAGGCTTTTATTGTTCTCATGTCAAAGGGCGGGTTTTGCAGGACGGGGGAGTGAGTTTGGACAGTGGGGAGCAAGCCCCTACTTGCCAGCGATGAGTAGGTTCGCAGGACCACAATGACCGAATCCCCGCGCAGGAACATCTTGGAGATGTAGCGGTCCTTGTGGACTGGCTTGGACTTCTTCTTGCCCTTGCCACTCTTGGGGACCTCGGTCCACATCTCCGTCACATTCTCCAGCACCATGTTGCAGTGCCTGTCAAAAGCCTTCACACGGCCCAGGAGCTTCTTGTTGTTGCGACAGTTGATGAGCACTTGGGTGTTGTTCTTGACGGACTGCGTGAGCACGGAGAGTGGGCCCGTGTTAAACTCTTCCTCCTCCCGCTTCTGCAGCTCCTCCGGGGTCACCTCACTCTTGGGCTTGTTGAGAAGGCTCATGGTGGCGGTGGTTGCGCTCTCAGAACGCTCCTGTTCTCCGCGTTGCTTCAGCCTCCGACAAATGGAAGGTTTTTATAGAAAGAAAGGAGGGGCCAGAGAGATCTTAATGAAAGAAAAGAAAGAACTATTTTGGGGCTGGGACATCTTTTCTTTGAGGGAGGAGAAGGGGAAGAGTTTTTTTTTGTTTTTTTTTTTTGTTTTTTGTTTTTTTATCATTCAGATCGCCTGTTCTTTCTAAGAGAGATGGAGAGGGCCCATGTGACAGATTACCTTATTGGTGCTTGACCAGAAAATTCCCTACTGGTTAAGATTATTTTTCCAAGGGATTAAAACTAGAATTAGATCAGTTATTAAATCTAAGTTGGTATTATGAGCTTTTAGCACAAGTGACACCATTTTGGGCCTGTGGTTTTTTTTTCTTTAATACAAAAAGGTATATTTTGAGGTGTATATTCTGGTATGCCTAAATCCCACAAGCCTGGGGCAGAGCCTGAAAGAGCCTGGAGACCTGTGGGAATTCGGATTTTTCACTTTAAACAATTATGCTAATCTTGCCCTCTCTTCCCTAACATGTTAATGTTGATATCAATATAAAACGAATGGTTATGAATCACCAAACACATTTTACCCCAAGAAGATGGTCCATATTTATTTTTGTGGCTTCTAGCATCCACTGACGCCCTGGTGTAGACACTGGAGATGATGCTGATATTGATGATGACGATGATGGTGATGATGAGTACTTTGTACATAGTTCAGATTAAGATACACACTTGCATGGAATTTGGAGCCAGAAAGTCCTGGTTTTGAACACTGGCTGTATGGTAGCTGTGTGGCCTTGATAAAGGAACTCAATCTCTCTGTGTCTTCATTCCCTCACCTATAAGACTGGATTAATTATACTGGCAACCTCCAGGAACATAAGTTAAAGAAGGAACGAAAGAAACAAAACAGAGTAAGGGCATAAAATGGAGCCAGCAATGAGATTAAACTAGGAGAACGATATGCTATGGGTGACCTAAAGGCCATTGTGGACCACAAACTTGGCTGTGAGCTTTTAAACAGCTAATGGGAAGGGCAAACATGGTAAGTGACTCCGTTCATGGCGTTCATAAAATAAAAACCAACCAGTTGCTCAGGAGTGATTCAGGCATCTCTCTTGAGGGTCTTAAGAGAGGACTGCATGGAGAAATCAACAATGTCCTCATAACATCTCTCTGATGAGGATTCTCACAGGGCATCTTATTATAGGCTTACAGCTTCTCCACCCCCACTGCTATTCTATACTTGAGGTGGAGCACAGTGTAAAGTGTAGCATTGGATTAGGGTACTGAACATTCTGGAAAGGGAGAAATGCTGGTTAATTCAAGGAGGAAAGGAAAGGTAAGGTTTGGGCAAGTGGAGAGGGGCTGGGGTGAGGGAGAACATGATAAGAAAGCAAAGACCAAGAGGTGAAGACATGCAGGGCAATATTAGAAAATTAAAGATTTATTAAAAAATAAATATTAGGCTACGTAGGATTGCCTTTTTCCTCCTCCCAGCCTCCTTATGCAGGGGTGAAGAGGGAGCCCTGGTGTTCTGTATGCTCCTAGCACACAGAGGGAAAGTCTCTCTCCAGAAGGAAAGTCTAAGTCTTTTTTTTTCAATGTGGGCAGCAGGAGAGCTGAGGAAACTATAGACATGAGCCTGAGAGCCTCTCACCTCTAGACAATATGGTGGTGATGAAATGGGAAAAGTTGGGGATGAAATTCGAGCAATGGTTCTCAATGAGGGGCGATTCTGCCCACCAGGGGATATTTGACAATGTCTAGAGACACTTGGCTGTCACAACTTGGGAGGAGGTGCTACTGGCATCTACTGGGTAAATGCCAAGGATGCTGCTAAACATTCTACAATGCACAATACAGGGGATACGACAAAGTGTTTCTGGTCCAAAATGTTAGTGGGAGTGAGCTGAGGAAATCTGGATTGGGAGAAGGAGAAGACACTATGGTAGAGACAGGGATCTCTGACAACCCCTTCAGTCTGCACTATGCTGGGAGTCAGGTTTCACCCAGAGAATAATGCTTAAGATGATGATGGTGATGATGATGACAATGACAATGATGATTCCATTTGTTCACAAAACAGTTGACAATGGAGTCTCACACTCATTCCTCCATGAAATTCAGACAAATTGAAGCCTCTTTATGGAAGAGGAGACTACAGCTCAGAGAACATAAGTGATCTTTTTCAATATTTGTTTCAACCTGTAGTGCTGGTTTGTTCTCCTCCTCCTTCTCCATCTTCTGGGATGCCACTGTCTGACTGCCCCTTTCCTCCAACCACATATGTTGGGAGAATTCCCTAATGTACAGATCTAAAAGCTGAAGAGGATAGATACTCACATTCCCCTTCTTTCTTGAAAATAGGGTGTGGGTCAATTAGCTTCACCCACCTTGGACTTTGAATCAAAAATCAGGGACCACAGTGGTGAAGCAGGGTCAGGGACACATCCTTTTTTATAGTGAATGGTGGTGGTGGTGATGGCAGTGGTGACAGTGGGGGTAGTGGTGATGGTGGTGGTGGTGGTAGTGGTGATGGTGGGGGTGGTGATGGCAGTGGGGATAGTGGCAATGGTGGTAGTGGTGGCAATGATGGTGGTGGTAATGGTGCTGGTGGTGCTGGCGGTAGTGGTGATGGTAGTTGTGGTGGTGGTGGAGGCAGTGATATGCAGCATCCATGTCAAGGCTAGTGAGCTATGGGTATCTGTTCATGGGGTTTGGTAGTGAAGAAGGCATCAGCCTTCTCTCTAAGCTGGTTTTCTGCCTGTGGCTTTAACTATGGGTCTGGCTGCATAGTAACCTTTTGTTTCTGTTTGTTTTCTAGTCATTCTGGCTGGCCATGCTGTGACCTATGTGACATCCTTTCACAGCATTCCTTCTCTGCTTCAGTCAGCCAGAATCATTTTTTGTTGTTCTTGCCTAAAAGGAGGAATTCTGACTGATACACTCTGTGTATGACTTGGGCTGGTCCAGAGTTTGTTTTTACTTTAGGGTTTAGCTCTCCATAGAGCTCAAACATGAATCTAACGTGACCTCTGCAGGAGACCAAATCAGAATCTGAGATACTGCTCAGAAATGCTCCTCTCCTCCGGCAATAAGCCTTTGCCACTCCTTCAAAACCATCATGCCTGGTTCCTTCTCCAGGGACTCCTCTTCCCAGGCCCTCTCCCCTAAATGACAAATGAACCCAGGTATGTGTAACCTCCACCTGTGGATAGAACTTGAATCCTATTCTATCCATGTTAGCCACCACCTGACCTGTCATTTAAAAAGTTCTTCTTGAGCTGGGACCCATTGTCACATATGAATTAGCTGCTGAGGGCAGTGTGTGTCCATCCCAGGTCACTGCTCAGGAGAGGCCAGCAGCCTGTGGATGGAGAGGAGACCGTACAGGAGCTCGCTCTCTGCAGGGAGCACGACACCTCCTTCTCGGCCTCCTCGAGGGAGAATCAGCAAGGAAGAGATCTGCTGGCTCTAAAGAGCAGTGCCCCACCCTGGAGCCTCCAGCCACTTATTAGTGAGTCTGTGAGGCACGTGGCCCCGTTGTTCCCTTAGAGCAGGTGGATCATGTTTCTTGTGGGCATTGAGGCCTGGCTCACAGCCATGGTCTGTGAACGCAGTCGTGACACCAAATCCCTCCCTTGTGATACCCAGGCAGTGAAGACCGAACAGGAAAGACAAGCTCCCGAGGCTCCTAGGAGGAGCCAAGGACACTGTCTAGAGCAGTGATGGCGAACCTTTTGAGCTCAGCGTGTCAGCATTTTGAAAAACCCTAACTTAACTCTGGTGCCGTGTCACATATAGAAATTTTTTGATATTTGCAACCATAGTAAAACAAAGATTTATATTTTTGATATTTATTTTATATATTTAAATGCCATTTAACAAAGAAAAATCAACCAAAAAAATGAGTTCGCGTTGTCATCTCTGACACGCGTGTCATAGGTTCGCCATCACTGGTCTAGAGGGAGGTGATCTCTTCATTCCTTTCAGACACTCAGTCAGGGGTTCTAAGGCTCAGAAGTGGCAAAGTAAACCCAGTAGGACCTTGACACTCTTGCCCAGGGCAGAGGGGAGCAGGAGCCCACGGTCCTCTTGGCAACTGCTCTCGGTGTCTCCTCCTTGAAAACCCTGTTCCAGGCTTTGGTGCAGGCTTCTTTCCATTCCGAAGTTCCTCCTGAAACTAGTTCTCTTCACTTCCTTCAGTAATGGGTTCTGCCATGTCAAGTTGAGATACTTAGAAGTGGCTCCCTCCCCTTCCCAGAAACACTTAAGACGGTTGACACAACACCGGCAATGGCTTTGGTGTCTTTGGGATGTGCAATTTTAAAAATATTTATATGGTCAAATCTATCCATCTCTTCTTTCATTGTAACTGCCTCAATGCCATGCTAAGAAGGCTTTCCCTATCTCAAGATTATACTAACGGTCTCTATTTTTTATTCTAGTAATTTTTTCTATCTTTCTCTTAAAACCATTTGGAATTAATATTGGTCCAATGAGTGAGGTAGAAATGGACTGTTATTTTTGTTCCTAAGCGGTCATTTTCCCTAGGCCTGCTGGGCAAATTCATCTTTCCTTCACTGGTTTGAAATGTCACCTTTGTAATAAAGGGACATTCTCATGTATTCTTGACTATTATTTTGCTCCATTGACTTTTATTTTGCTGTAGTATCATTTGGTTTCGGAAGATTTGTGAAGTCAGAGCAACAGCACTGATCTAATTAGTTGGGAGACTTTGCAAGGCTTTACCGAAGAAAAGTCACCAGCTGTTGATGGTGTGACGGGGGGCCCTGCTTGAGAGTCGTCCCCCGTTCAGTGACATTGGCCAGCAAGCTTGAAGAGCAATGACAGAAAGGTCAGGCAGGGAGTCTGAGGAAACTAGGGCTGGAAGGACATTTAGAAATCATCTTCTAGTCCAACCTCTTTACTTTCCAGCCATGGGAACTTGGCACCAGAGAGGTTAACCCAGTTCCCCCATGTAGGGTATGGTAGATGTTGGATGGGC